ATGGTCTGGCTTAGAGTAGGGCTCTTCTCTGGCCCCGGGAGTCAAACACGATTCAGCACAGGCTGAAAACAGAACAGAAATGGAAATAAATTTGTATTTCAGGGCTTTGTTAGCGTGGTGTGAGAATATTTTTAAGAGGGTGCCAAAGAAAGTTTTGCACTTAGGGTTAATTTGTCTCAGGTGTCTGGGATTGCAATTGTGCTTTGGGTCTTTTTTGCATAATCAAGATTATTTGGGATTTTCTACTCTGCTGTTGCAGGCAGGTAAAAAGAGCCATTTAACTCAGCTGCTGAAGCTGAAATAAAAATACAATCACAAGAATAAGACTGATGATTCTACGAATCCTTGAGAATCAGAAACTTACTAAAAAACAAATTAAAAAAAAGGCAAGTCAGGCAATTGTCTTTTAATTTGGCTTAGTGCTTAAACTCAGTTAAACCTATTTAGTTTGTTATTATTACAGTTGGGTCCAGCAGCCGAACTGGCATTCAGGGTCACGCTCAGCTGGTTTTCCTGGAGCACTTGCCCACAGGAGAGCAGCCTGTGCACAGCAGAACTGCTCCCCAGCCCCGTCCTGTTTGTCTGGTGATCCTCACTGCCTCAACACTGATGCAAATAATCTGTATAGCTGGTGTATTATTGTGTCATCACCTGCACTGGAACCACCTGGTCTGACAGTCAGATGATGCAATTCTTCTTTAAACCTGCCTTAATTTCCAGTCTAAGGCCAGGGGTGTTCACCTTCCCTCCTCCCTGTTCACTCACAGCTCTCCCCTCCTTGTCAGTCTCCCTTGCAGACAAGTTGTTAAAGCTGATGGACACCAGGGTGTCCATGGGGCTGCTTTTAGGGAATTGTATTTGAGATGTTGTGTTGCCCCAAGCTCTAGTAGAGCCCTCAGTGGGAACTGTAGCGAGGTAGGACTGGGGCAAACTGGGAAGGAAAATGCTGCTGCATAATGTCTCAAAATGCTGGTCAGAGAATTCTTATCCTGCAGTTGGAGGCTAATGGGCAAAACCCACTTAAAGACAAAAGAAAAAATGCAATCATTTCCATTTTCCCAGCAATTACTTATGAGTAATGAGTTTCAGCACAGTGATGTCAGATTATTTAGCTGATGGTTGGCAAGCAAAATTTGATAGAAATGCAAATGTATCATTGTTTATTATGTTCAGTAAATAGAATGGTTCTGGGGCAGAAGTTTTAGAAGGGCAAGTGAGCTCTAACTGTTGAGATATATTAAAGATATAATGTGACCTGACATGAGAAATTACAGTCATTGTTAAAGGTTTAAAGGGAGGACTGTGTGCCTGGACTGTCCCTAACATGGGTGTGAGTCATCCCTGGCTCTTCCAGCCCCCTCTGGTATTTCTCCTGTCTCACGGTTTAAGGGTCTTTCCTAGGACCCAACTCAGACCTTTTCTGCAGTTTCCAGCAATTTCTCTGTTTTCCCCAGAGTTTGGGAACACAGCTGATCCGTTCTCCTGGAGTGGCCCTGGGTCAATCAGATGATTGTTTTTCCCTCTTTCTTCTCTTTTTAAGCCAAACAAACTCGGTTCTTTCAGGCTTTGTTTTTTGAAAATACCTTTTTGGGGCCGTATTTTATAAAAAATTTAAAGCAACCAGTGTGTAGGCCAGGACCCCAGCTGAGAGCCAGGACCCCGTTCCTTCTGGTGTGGCAGCAGGAATGTGGCAGGTACCCTATTCTGGATAGAAATTTCTGCTTGCAGTACTGGTGCCATGCCTTGGATTCATTAACCAGCTGGTGACATTCTGTTGTGTACCTAGAGCTGCTCAGAAGGACTTTGGCTGTGTCTGAGCCTGCTCCCAGCAACACAGGAAAAGAGTAGTTTTGGTCCCTGGCCCTGCAGCTGGGACAGTCATGGCTGGGTGAGAAGGGAATGTGGACATTCTCCTGGCAGCTTTGGCTGAGGAAGAGGAGGAGTAATGTGGTTATAGGAAAAGTCACAACAGACCAAAGTCCACTGAGGTGAGTCCTGTCTCTGGCATTTCGAGTGTGCAGTTCTGCTCAACAATGAGCTGGGTGTGGGTTCTTGCCTTTTGGACTATGGTGTTTAAAATCCCATGGCAGATTTCTATTCTGTGACTTTATCTATCTGTCTTCCTTTCCTTTCCTCTAAACCCAATTTGAAGATAAACATGACAAAGCCCAAGGGACAGCAGCGCACAGTGCTGCGGACACAGTGATGCAGGGGGAGCATCTTGTGTCAAATTCTGCCAAAGTTTGCTCTCTCAGAACCTGCTCCTCTTTTGGGAGTAACTTTGAGAGGGACTAGGAGGTTTGGGGTATTTTGTTGCCCATCACTAGGGCCCCCTGGGAGGATGGTGGCTGAACTTGCTGCCCAGTGCAAGTGGCTCACTGTTTTGGGAGGCTCTGCAGGGCGTAGCCACAGTGCTCAGCTCTCTGTCATATCCTGCAGGCTGCTTCTGCTCCAGCACCGACAGGGGAGCAAAGGACCAAACCCTGAACACCTCTGTATTCTCCTTGGAAAAGGGACAACAGGTTTTGGGAGGAAGGAGACTTCTTGCTCTGTTCAGCCCATCCAGCAAGCTCCAGGGTACTTGAGAAGCTAAAGAAGACACTGAGTCAATGCAACACCATCCAGCCCAATATGGGATAAGAAACACTCGGTGGACTGAAGTCCTCCCTGAATGCAGGATGGTGGTAGCAGGGTCCAGAGTACTTAAAATCAAAGGCTGAGCTGGCTGAGCAAGCAGCCCTGAGGCAGAACTCTCTCCAACATGGTGCTGCTCAGACCCCACCACGTTCCAGTGCTGCTGCCCAGGGTCCCCTCCCTGTCTGCTGCTATAGCTGCACTCCTCCTTCACCCTTTCTTCCCTTTCCCACACCATTTGCACATTATTCCCCACCCCTGCAGATAAGGGGGACATACTCACCAGGCTGGAGGCCCTGACTCAGCCAGGATTGCTCCTCCTGGAGTGCTGGTGCTCTCCATGTGTGCTGCTCTGGCTGCCCCAAAGTCACCTCCAGAAGAAGGAGGTGAGTGGGGGTGAAATAGGTTTCTCATCTGCTCATGCAGGGGATCTCCTCTGCTTACAGCAACATTCTCCATGTCCCCAGAAAGCCTTGCTTGTCCCATGTCTCTTCTGGCTGTCCTTTACTCTTCTACCACCAAAAAAGTCCTCGTTCACCTCTGCTGGCTCCATGCTGTCTGTGTGGATGACTCTATAGGGTGGCTGGAGGCCCTGGCTGACCCAACAGCCTCCTTCCTTCATGCCAGGGTGGTGAAATAAACCCACAACTCGACTGGCCAGTGCCCAGCTTCTAATAGCATCCATAGAGCCCAGGTTCCGTGCCCCTGGCATGCCAGGAAAGCCCGTAGCAGGGAGAGGTTGGCTTCTTCTGGGGTTTGGGGGCTCTCCATACACCAACTTAATCCTTCCTGCCGAGCAGTGCCCTTGCTGTGTTCCAGTCGGCTGTGCCAGAGCTGTTGCCGAGATGTGAGAGCTGCTCACGGGAGAGCTGCTCCTCTCCTCGGTGCCCGTCAATTTTTTGACAGCAGAAACATTTCAAACTGCAGAGGGAAAGTGCACTCAGCCCCCCCAGATGGTTTGTACGTGACACTGCCCTCCTCCTGTGACACAAAGAGCTGACCCCGGGGCCGCGGGCAGCGCTGGAAATTTGGTCCCTGACGCGGCGCCGGCACACGGGGCACAGCCATCCCCTCCCAGCACTGGGGGATGACGGGCTCGGCTGCTTTGTGGAGCAGCTTCGCATGGAAAAGCAGATCGGCTTTAACTTTCAGCCTTCTTTTTGTCCTGATTAGTAGAAGACTAATGAATTTTTCTGTAGCTAAATAGCTCTGTGTTCTTCCTCTCTGCACCCCAGATGACAAGCTACAGGTATGCCCTGATAGCCTCTGTCCTAACATCCCCAGGAATATTTGGGAAGTGTAAGAGAGGCCACGGCAAATGGTCTGGAGCGACTTACAGTGGATGTTTCGGTGGAAACTGGGGAAGGAGCAACAAGCAAAATCTCTGCAGCACTAAATGTGGCTTTTTTGGTTGCTGAGATGTGTTTCTACCTCTCTGGGTCCCACAGGGTCGTGTGGCTGTGACTTTTTCCAGCAGCAGCAGCAATAGTGATCCCCTATGACAGCCCAGGACCTGCCTTTGGCACTGCTCAGTGCATTTATTTCTGCAAGAGGGGGCTCCTGCCCAGACACTGCCCCCACCTGAGTGCTCAGTGAGTGGCCAGAGAGCTCAGACAGGACATTGCAGCCCCCACAGCATCTGGGGCAGAGAAGTAGCACAAGTGCAAGCTCCAGGCACCCACCATGCCATGGGGAGGCTGCCCCTGGCAGCCTGGGCTGAGCCCAGGGGTCCAAGGGTGGGCAGCCAGCTCTGGCACTCGGAGGATGAGCTACTTAGTGGGCACATGGGCTTTTCAGGTGTGGAACAGGAACCACACTGTCTCAGAGGCTTGTGAGACTTCACTAAGCTGCTAAACCATGGTGAAAGCTGGAAATTAGGAGCAGATTTTCTTCTACCTCCCCAGGAAGGACTCAAAACTGGTTTCAAGTTTGGTTGGAAACATTTCCCAGTCTCTGGTGAAGTATGTCAGCCCATTCACACACTGCTGGTGGACAAGACCTGATCTGCCCACCTCATGGAGCCAGCACAGCTGCCAGCCAGCTGCTCTCCCAGTGCACCTTAACCTGGGCAGAGAAAAGGTGATACTCACTTCTCGGTGACTTTGGCAGCAGAGACACTCAGTCTTCTTCCATGATCCCGGGGCACAAATCGTGGGCTCACTTTGGCCTTACATTGCTCACCACCAGCTGTAGAAGCTCAGTGTTTATCTCAGCCCCATTACTGCCAATCTTCCCCCTATTACTACACCCACAATTCACAGCCAGAAAACATCCTTTATTGCAGTGGTGATATTTAAACTGGGGGAGGTATCAGTATGTTTGGTTTTTTTAAACTTGCTTTTAGGCAGTGTCTGTTCCTTTGCTCCAGCCTCTGCTCCACATCTGTGACTGCAGCCTTCTCCATCCAGCTGAGAGGGAAATTATGTGTGCAAGAGGAGTCAGGGCTCCCTTGCTGGCACACTGCTCACATTGCTAGGACTGCCACCCCTGCTGCACGCTCAGCCACATGCTCGAGGATGCTGCACCTGAAAGTCCAGTTTCTGGATGACTCCCAGAAGATCTTTGTAGTTGATGTAAGTGGATATCGTATTTTTATTATTTTTTTGGTGTTAGTTATTGAAGTTATTACGTTCAGTTATTGCTGCTCTGAAGGATTGCGTGGTCTGTGATAGCTTTGGGTTTTCAGCTTAAAAAAAACAAACAACAACCACCAAACAAAGAAACCAACCTCGTATTCAAAACCAGAGGTTATAGTACTAATTGCTAAGTGTCTTTGAGCATCAACACACTTCTGCTCTCCCCTGTTATTGGCAGTATTTATAAAGAAAGAGAATGGCTTTTGCTTATCTGGTGTCATCTTTAGGAAATCAGTTAATATGAAGTGATGCTCTTGACAAGTGTCAAGTTCTTTTCTCATTTATCTGGCTGCCAATATAAACATTCAGTAAGAAAGTAAAATCCTTACAACAGAACAAAAGTAGCATATTTATCCAAGTTACCCCTGGTGAGAAAAATCTGTATGCATCTCTTCCTGGGCATTCAGTTGAAAAGAAAACTGTGGTTTTGTGAAAAGCTGAGGGAAAAAAACTCACCGTATCTTATTTTCTGCATGACAGTGTCTCCCACAACATACTGTGATTAATAAATCCCATTTAAGAAATACTAGCTCTGAAATAGGTTTTAAATGTTAAGTATTAATAGCTATGGTGTTAGATTTATATACATGTGTGTAGATAACTGAAACTAGATGTATCTTGACTGTGTTAGAAACATCTCTTTACCAGTGTGATTGCACATTTACTGTTGGTTAGGGTTTGATAATCACAGTAGCTAAGTGAATTGGGTAATTCAAGTAGATTTGTTCTAGTACTTACCTGCATCTCCTGTGGGACCAGAGTGTTTAAGATAAATTGTTTTTTTCAAGTCCTGTTACACTTCTGATACTGTCCTGTTCTGTGGTTTATAGCACAGCCTGAAAACTGCTCTCTGAGATGCACGGCTCCATTTCTTTGAGATAGCATTTTACCCAGAAAAGGATTGTAAAGCAATTCCATCCTTTAGCACAGTATGAATACTGTTTGATTTAGCCTAATTAATGTATCCTGGACCTGGAATCAGCTTAAAAATTAGGCTAGTCGTTTTAAAATGCCCTTTTTTTCCCCCCACATTGATTAGATCAGGTCATAGTAAGAAACAATTTAAAAGATGCTGCTGGTACAATGTTACTACATTTTTTTACTTCTCTGTTTTCTTATTTGCCCAAAACAGAGCACTATAGCTCTGCACGACATGTTATTGCAGCAAATAGCTTCCATTAAAGGAACTCCTGGTCATTTCCTTTTTTAGCATGGAATGGTATTGGAAACCCCTTTTAGGCATTTCATGCATTTGCTGGTGTGTGGGTACGATAAATGAGTAGTTGAATTAGTGACTTCTCCAGGATAAAAGGACTGCTCTGGGCTAAGTTCTGAGCGGATATTTTAAGCAACTCTTCCTAAACCCCTCCTGACTTGGGAAAGCTCTTTTGAATGGTGAGTACTTCAGTATAATGGGAGGGAAAAGGACAAAAGAGAGAAAACACAGTGGGCCTGATTCCCCCTCCACCTCACACTCGATGTGTGCATCTCTACCTGCCTCACGTGGGTGTCACAGCTGCCAGCATGTGCAGCGAGGTCTCATTTCCAGTTTGCTTTGCATGGGAATGAGTTCCTCTCCTGGTGCTGGATGCTGACCTGGGAAGGCTTCTGCCTTCATCTGCATCCTTGCCGACAACCAGGACCTGAGTTCACAGGATTTCCTTCAGCTGAGCACTGGAGGTGGTTCCCAGAATGGCACTGGGTAGGTTTGAGCCCCCAGGGGAGGGGAAGGAAGGGACCTGGCACATCTCTGGGTGTGCCCTGTTGTGCCCTTCCTGCTGAACACCCCACAGCTGAGCTGTGGAGCAGATGGGATCTTGCTGGGGTGCTGCCAGCCATGCCAGTGAGCCCTGTGCCTCTCACTGGGAGGGCACCAGGATCCTCTGCCCCAGTGCCTGGGGGCAGGGACAGTCACAGGCCAGCCTTTAATGTTTTTTTTTGCACTGAGAAAAGATATTACAAAGCTGCTTCCCTTCTCCCTGCCATCCCAGGTACCTAGAGCTGTGACCTGGAATGTGCTCTCACCGATATGTCACTCTCCTCTCTGGAAAGGGTTTCTACGAAGCAGCCCCAAGCCTGGGCAGCTCCCGGAGCCCTCTCTCTGCAGCACAGAAGACCAACCACGTTGCAGCCTGGGCAGACAAAGCCTGGGCATCTCTGCTGGTGGAATTTGCTACAGGGCAATATTCATCGGGAGGAAAAGAAAGAAAAGGCAAACCAGACAAGCTCAGAAAAACTAATTGCTGGGGCTGAGGGAAGGGCAAAGTCCTGTGGTCATGTGTCCCTTGTGAAGGTGGGAATTAATCGATGGGAGGTGTGCAGGGTTGGAGGCACTGGAGCAAGGGCACAGGGAGGGGCAGGGCTGGTGGCTTTTGGTGGGTGGCATTGTGTGCCACCTGCAGGATGCCTGATGGGGGGACATTTTTCAAGGTGGTGGGAAAAGATCACACCAAATCCCATGAGCTATTGCTCACCCCCTAAACCCTAGACTTGGGCGCAGCAGACATTGCTATGGGGAATGCTGCAAAAATGGGCTTTGCCATTGGACACTGCAAGTGCTGCCAAAGTCCCTTTGGGAACAGGAGTGTGTGTGTCCCATGTGTCCCATACCTTGCTATCTGTCTCTGGATGTGCCTCTGATTTTCTGACCCTGCTTGCAGTCCCAGCTGCTTCCACCGAGGAGAGGAGGGGCAAGCACAGCCTCTTCTTTCCACCATCTTCGACTTGAAGTCACATTTAGGGTTGGAATTGGGGCAAACAGCATCACGTATGACACTCCTGCCTTGCACTGCACTCCTGCAGCTCAGCACCCACCTCTCTCACCTGGTGCTGTGCAGAGCTGATGCTGCTGAGCATGACTGTGCCCCAGTGCTTGTGGCAGCACTGGCTGAGGCCTCGATACCTCAAAATCCAGGATGGGGCACCTGCAAGCAACACTCTGCAAGAGAAAGGCTCTGCTTCTAAAGCAGCCCCTGCAGCAGCAGGGCTGTGTCTCCCAGTGAGCAGGTTTTCCTGGGTTTGGGGCTGCTCCTCTCCCTGGTGCCTGCCCCGGGCAGTGCTGGGCTTGGAGGAGAGTGGGTCGCTCCCAGCAGACATTTGGTAGGTAATAACCCAGTAAGAAATGCTTGTCTTTCCTGGCTGCCTGACAAAGGCCAAGGCCTTTCATGCTAGAAAATTCTAGCTTGGAAATAAACATTTGTAATTGTTTTAATTACCCTTGTGATCCAGTAATTTCGAGGAGAACCGGGAGTGCTGCAGAGTGAATGCTGTTATTACGCTATCACTTTTCTGCAGCCTTTCAACACAGAGCCAGCAATTTCATCCCAGGAGAAGCCCTGAAAGGTGGTTATTAGTGTGCATCACCACCAGCAGCCGGGTCCCTCCCGCCCCTGCCGGGAACAGTCGCTGCCACAGGGAGCAGCCTGCCTTTCCCTCCATCACCCGAAATGCCATAATTTAGCAGCTGTCTAACCCAGCCTCTCTGCTCTGGCTTGCTTTTGCAATAACCCACACTTCCTTTTGGTCTGCTTTTCACAGGCTGATGAAGGAGTAGCAGGGTATTTGTTGGTGTGGGTCACTGCCAGGTTCATTTCTGGTGCTTTCTGGAACATTTTCCGAAGTCAGGAAATGTCCTGGCTTGTTCTCCAACCGTGTCACACAGCAAGGCAACAAGTCAAGCAAGGCTCCAAGTGTTTCTGTTCACTGGGAATAACTACAGGCTGGCCTCCCTTATCAGCACGTAGTGCCACTTAATGCATATTGCTGAAGCACAGGGATGACCCAGGGCCCACGGCGCAGGATCTCTGCGGGCTCCTGTTGCTGTTAATTACCATTAACCATAATAGTAGCTTGTCCCTGGCAATCTGGTCACCAGCTGTCAGGGCACATGGGCTTGCTGCACAGGTTTGAGGGCTGCTCCCGTTGGCTCTTAAGGCTCTTAATTAAGCATGTTTGCCATGGCTGTCCCTGGCTGAGGTGGATGCTCATTCTGGGGATCGCTCACTGCTTTGCCAGGGACAGAGCTGCCCAGAGAGTAATGGTTGCAAAAGGTGAGTCAAAAGCAAGATTTCTTTCCTCTTACTTTCCTTTCTATGTTCTTTAATAAAGGAGAGAAGTGATGGTAAGGAATCTGATAAGGAATCTGATTTCCAAAAACAGGGAGCACAGCATACTGTCCTGTCCCACATGCTGAAGCCAACAGAATTTATTGAGTGAGATTTTGCTGCAGCACAATCAGGAAAGGGGTGAAGGCAGGGAGCTGAAACTTCTCCCCATCTCACTGGAATTCCATCACGACTGTTGTCAGCATTGGCTAACCCTCTATTCTGTGCTGTGTTTGTTTGGTAGCAAAAATCCTGCGGAAAAGGGTTGTTCAACCTCACCTGCAGCCACCTCAACCTTGCGGAGAAGGAATATTTTGGGCTGGAGTTTCGCAGCCAGGCTGGGAACCAGGTGAGTACAGCTGGCAATGTGGGGTCCTGGAGCTGCAAATGCCACATCCTTGCAGCCATCAACCACATGGCTGGGGACTTGTTAGCACCTCCCTGAAATAACAGATGGAAAACTTAAATAGAAAGTTTTGCCATTATGGCAAAAAAAAACCACCTGAAAATGGGAGTTAGGAGAGGAGCCACAAGCCTGTTGGCAAAGCCAACAAGTGATATCCATGGCCCACAGGGTTTATCTGTAGCCATCCATGTGGGGCTGCCCAGTGGGACACCTGCTGCAGCAGCCAAGCTGGCCAGCATTTCTGTGTTGCATTCCAGCATGATGCTGTTGTTTTAGTTCCCCATCTCTTGTGCTGCTTATTTAGCCAGTTCTTCACTGCCTTGTTTCAGGTCTGGTTGGAACCACTAAAACCCATAACAAAGCAAGTCAAAAGTAAGTATTTCAAGAACAAAATTCTTCTAAATCACTGCCGGTGACAGACTAGCATAGACACGTTCATGCAGCACTATCATTTGGGGACGGGGTCTCTGGTTTCCAGCACTTACCTGAGCTCATTTTATAGGGTGAGGCTTGACAGGACTGTTTGCAAGGACACCTCAGTTCACACAAAATCCTGTGGAAATACTGCTGCCTTTGCAATCTGGTATCTGCACCATTTTAGACTTGAGGTGTTAATAACTTGACAGCTTGGTGGAGGACCAGGGGTGGCTGCATGGCAGTGCTGGCAGTGTGGCAGGCAGTGCTCCTGCATGCCCTCCTTTCCCCTTTGCAGCTCCCATCAACACAGACCTGTGTGAGGGTGGGTTACTCTTGTGCCTCACAGGCTCTGCTGCTCCTCCCCAGTCCCACCGAGGTGCTGCAGAGGCTGACCTGAATTCAGGCTCAGCATCCCCTGCCATGGCCATGACTGGTGTTAACACAGTGCTCCTTTCAGCACATGCCTGTTTCCACCCCTGCAATCAACCCAAAATATTTTCCCCAAATACACAATGACCAGGAGGTGACTGAGAGCATGAGGCCACGACCCCGGTATTTGCCGTGGGGAGGCTGCAGAACCCTGTTTGCAGGAACTTCCCTGAAAGGGGAAAGCCTGATAAAGAGCCTCCCCTTTCTGGGTGTACCACAAGTGGAATTATTTCGTACACCAATTTCTTTTGCCATTTACCTTCTGGCCTTTCCCTCTGAGCCATTCCACAGGGTTTGGGGACAGTTGGTGCCTACATAATTGTCTCCTTCCTTCCATGCCCTTTGCCTTGGGCTTGGTTGCTTGCTCTCACTCATCCCACAAGAAACACTTTGCCCAAACAGCCTCCTATGGAGCTGTTGCATCCCGAGTGCTTGGAGGCCTGAGTTTAACACACAGCCCCACTGATGGCAATTGCACCAGGGCTCTGGCCATGCTCCAAACAAGCACCCCTGGCATTGCTCCATGGAAACCCCCTCCTGGCTGGGGTTTCCCAAATTTAAAGAATTGCTGGGGCATTTTCTCCTTAGTATTATTTAGATGTCCAAATCCCTATTTGCTTCCATTGGTAACACTGGGGACCTGGGCAGGCTATTTTTGGGGGGGCAGGCTGGAGTCCCTGATATTCAGGGCTTTCAGCCCAGATTTGTAAGGGTCCAGATTAATTTACTCTGTAAGGGACAGCATGTGTGAAGAGAGTTGTAATTGTTCTCAATAGGCATGTAAAAGAAAACTTATGAAGGTGTTGTGTTTTAAGATCCTAAGGAGGTTCTTTTCAAATTTATGGTGAAATTTTTCCCAGTGGACCCCGGCCACCTGAGAGAAGAGCTGACCAGGTACAGCACTTGTTCTATTACTTTCTTATTGCACAGTTCCATATTTTTGCAGTTGCAAAGCATGTGTTAATTCTATATCTTTATTCCCCCCCCCAACCTGTCTGTGAACAGTGGTTATTCTAAGTATTGAAAGAGCTCTGTACTGTACAAAAAAACCCCAGAGAGTATCTTTTCTTGATCCTCTGTTTTTAAACAAAATCCACTTGAAGGATCAGCCGTCTTAGGAGGCTGCAATTTGTTTACTGCCAAACACTTCAGCAGTTGGGCACAGTCTGACTGTTCAGTCTAGCTCCTACCTTAAGCTGTGTCCTGAAAGAATAATTTTGTTTTTAAAAATGACATTGTTAGCTCTTACATTTCTGAGAAAGCATTGCAAACAGGAACTGAGAATAAAACTAAGACAGTGCTTCTGCAGAACGCCAGCACCAAGAGATGCAAAGAAAACAGAAAGGAATGTTAGCTCTGAAACCTACTAATGAGCATTTCAATGGCAGGGATGTCCTGGTCATGGTGGTGCCCAACTGCAGCCTTCTGCAGGGGCTGCATTCTCCTCCCGTGACCCTGAGGGTGTCCATCTTACGGGTCGACAGATGGGAACAGGCAAGGCCCTCATGGCTCAGCCCAGCACCCAGCTCCCCCCAGGGCATGCTCCTGTCCCCCTCCACAGGTACCTCTTCACCCTCCAGATCAAGAAGGACCTGGCACAGGGGCGGCTGCCCTGCAGTGACAAGAGCGCAGCGCTGCTCGTCTCCCACCTGCTGCAGTGTAAGGGCAAGCACCTGCAGGGACGGTGCCCCTTCCCCAGGGATGGGGCTTTGGCTGTGGAGCCAGGGGTTCCTGCTGCACTGACCCTTCACAGTCTAATCCGTGCTCTCCCCATGTTCCTCAAAGCCGAGCTGGGCGACTTCCACGAGGAGACAGACCAGCAACACCTGGCGACCCACAGGTACCTGCCCAACCAGGAGTACCTGGACAACAAGATTATGCACTACCACCGCAGACACAGGTAAGGGCTGCTCCACACTGTGGCCACCCACCCAAACCACCTGATGGATGCCTGCTGACAGGACTGGTAAGGGGTGGGTGTGATGCCAGCATGTGCACACCCAAAATGGTATTTTTTCAGCCCATTTCAGCATCTGCCTTCTCATTCCTGTTTCTTCCTGTGTGTTTGTGTCTCCAGAGGGAAGACACCGGCCGAGTCAGATGTTCAGCTGCTGGACGTGGCCAGGAAGCTGGAGATGTATGGGATTCGTCCACACCCTGCCAGCGACGGCGAGGGGACACAGATCAACCTGGCTGTGACACACATGGGGGTGCTGGTCCTGCGGGTGAGCCCGGGCTCGGGGGTGCCCTCTCCCAGGGACAACCCCTCCAGCTGGGGGGGGTCCCTTCTCCCCTCTGTGTGCTCCAAACCCTTCAAGAGAGAGTATTCTCCACAGACCTTGGGTGTGGAGGGGATGCTCCATGGGGGCCCAGCCCCACCACCTGCTGTGTGCCACTGGACCTGCCCCTGCTCTGCTGGCTCCTGTCCCCACGAGCATGGTAGTGTAGGCACCACAGGTTACAGGGCTCTGTCACATGTACTTACCATGTAATCTTCCAGCTCAAATAGCCCCCTCACGTCTGTGCAATTACATAAGGCTGTAATCACGGCGGAGCTGCAGAGTAAACACCACAGAGCTCCTCGCAGCCGGCGCGAGGCAGCGCTCGCCTCCCACACCAGCTAATTCCAACCTGGGAACGTCTTGCCAGAGCAAAAGAAAAAAACCAAAACCAACCCAAATAAATCCTACTTGTGGGTCTGCTCTTCGTAATTAGTGCTGCCAGACCTGCTTATTTATTCAGAGCCATGAGCACCCCTCGTGCGTGATTAGAGCATCTGTGAGCCCATTAAAATCTGAGCTCTCCTAGAAAGCTGAGAGGGTCCTGGTGCCACAGCGTGGAGTAATGCAACTTTGGCTGGTTCTCCCGTGACACCAGTGTTGTGTGGCTGTGCCTGAACTGGTGCACAGTGATAATAAGGGGTAAGGTAGGCTTGCAGCCTGCTTAAGGTGGGTTTAAATGCATAGGGGTGAGCTGAGCTCTGCTACGCTTCCCAGCAATAGAGAGAAGGGTCTTATTTCTTTCGTGGGCTGGTTCCGCATTAACTCATGGCATTTGAGCTGGGACAGATAGGATTCCCTGCTTTGACCTCTGTGAGGTTTGTCTTGGGATCCTGGACTTTTACAAAGAGCTTCAACAGGCAGAGTTAAGCCCTGAACTTTAATTTCCACTTGTAGAACCAACTGGTGGAGAGGAGGGTCAAACACCAAATCACAACACCCCTTCTCCAGACCCCAGCAGCACTGAGAGCTTCATTGGAGTCTCATGCAGTGTCTTGCAAGCTCAAGTCTTGGCCCATCACATTTCTGTATTTACAGGTTGCCCTGTCCTGCTCTAACTGCTGTGTTCATCTTTGCAGGGCAATACAAAAATCAACACCTTCAACTGGTCCAAAATCCGCAAACTGAGTTTCAAAAGGAAACATTTTCTCATCAAGCTCCATGCAAATATCTCTGTAAGTACCATGCTGCAGGCAGCTGCTGGGCTCAGGAGCAAGCAGCTGTGGATGGAAGATCAGCCACACAAAGTCCCCAGTTTTGAATAAAATCCGCTCCTGCTGCTCGTGGGTGATGCTACTTCCCCTCAAATGTGGCACATGCTGGCCTGTTCCCAGTGATGTGATGCTGCACTGCCCAGAGCCACTGGCAGTGCAGTGTGACCCTCTGGGGCTGAGGAGGGCAAACAGCACAGCCTGACCCACGCCCCCAACACCAGCTCACTTGTCTCTGGCATGCAGGAGCTGTGCAAGGACACACTGGAGTTCACTATGGCCAGCCGGGACACCTGCAAGGCTTTCTGGAAGACGTGTGTGGAGTACCATGCCTTCTTCAGGCTCTCTGAGGAGCCCAAGTCAAAACCCAAAGCCCTTCTGTGCAGCAAGGGCTCCAGCTTCCGCTACAGGTAAAGTCCAGGGGAAAAACAAACTGCTGGGGCTGGGAAGGGCATGAGAGTGGCCTGAGCCTTCCCTTTGTGTCAGCCCTGGCTGGATGCGAGAGGGTGATGCCTAACAGCTACTTTTGCTAGAGATACCACTGCCTCAGTCCTGCTGCACCCCCCCACCTGGGGCACAAGGACTGCCCAAGGCTGGGGCTGATGGTGCTGCTCACTCCTCTCCCTCTACGCTGCAGTGGGAGGACGCAGCGGCAGCTGCTGGAGCACGGGAGGAAGGCAAAGATGAAAAGCCTCCCCTTCGAGAGGTACTGGGGGGCACGGAGGAGGGCAGTGCCTGGGAGGGGCTGAAGGGGCAGGCAGGACCCTCTTGGCCATGCACTCACCCATGTTTTCGGCCTGCAGGAAGCACTACACGTCCCGCTATGACGAGAGACAGTGCCGCTCCTCCCCGGACCTCCTGACGGATGTCTCCAAGCAGGTACAGCCCCGTGGTGCCAGCAATAGGTAGTGCTGTGCCCAGGGGGTCTTGGCACCCCAGCCCCAGCTCTGGGCACTCGCTGCCAGCTCCTCCCTGGGCACCCACCCACCCTTCTGCCCTGCCCAGGTGGAGGAGCTGCGCCTGGCCTACAGCAGCCGTGGCTCGTACCACGCCAACGGAGTGCACGCCTCCGAGCCCACCCTGGACAGCCGGCGCCGGAGCTCCACGGTGGAGGTGACATTCGCCGCTGAGCTGGAACACTCCAGGCCCGAAGCATCCCCCACCTTCCTCCCCCACTCCAAAAGCTCGTCTGCCTTCCCCCTGCTCTATGCTGAGCTGGAGATGGAGCAGGCATGGGAGCCCATGGACCTCTTTGGTGCCAGGAACCCTTTGACATCCTTTCGGCCCCACCACCAGTTTTCTGGGAACAATAAAAGCACCTCGGTGGGCAACATGCGGGAGGTGAGTGCCCGACCACTTGTGTACATGGATGTGCCATCTCCCCTGCCTGTGGCTGCCCCGGCCCCGCAGCTCCTCTTCTACATGGACAGGGCCCCGCAGCCCCCGTGCCAGACGCTGGCACCTGGTGAGGACGCAGCAGGACTAGTTGGTCCATGTGGCCCCGTGGCAGCAAAACCCCCCAGGCAGAGCCCGGGCGGGACCCAGGCTGGGGAGTTTGACCATGAGGCTGCGGGCACGGCAGTGGGCAGAGGCGTGGTGGGGGAGAACAGGTCACTGGCTCGCTCCTTCGATTACGGCCTTCAGGAGCAGCCTCCCAAGCGGTCTTGGAGCCAGTCGGACATGAAAACCATGCGCTTCCCCTATGGCTCTGAGTTCAGGCCCCTGGGGCCGTGCCCTGCGCTGAGCAGCCGGAAAGCAGGTGTATTTTGGCACGTACCAGCCCAGCAAGGGCTGGCACTGGGGCCACGGCGCTCCACCGAGCGCTACCTGGGCAGCAGCACCGAGTCCAGCGACTCCGACTCGGACCTCCTGGCCGCCGACTACTGCTCCCTGTACGGGCGGGTGCTGCGCTCACCCATGGCCCGGGTGCGCCTGTCCTCCGGCAGCCTCCAGCTGGATGAGGAGGATGAGGAGGTGTCCTTCGCCACCAGTGCTGCTGAAAAGACTTCCAGGGGGCCCTCCAAGTATTTCACCTAGGTGCCTGACACCGGCCAGAGGGAGCAGAGGTGACCGCCGCTGACCCAGGACCATGGAACGGTGACACTCTTGTTTGCTTACAGCTAATGAAACATTGATGGGCTTCTGTTGTGTGAGTTCTCCAGGGTGTGTTAATGGACAGCAGGGGAGTGTTCAGAAGTATTCAACACCTGCTGGTGTGTCTCTGCCACCATACATGGCAGGTCTTGCTTCAGTGAGGGGCCAGGGCTTTCCCAAAGCTCTGTTAAGACCTTGTGTCCTGCCCAAGCTGATGGGTAGGACACAGCCCGTTATGCTTTGGAGCTCAGCTGCTGGAGTCTTCACCGAGGGGGGAGGGAGAAAAAGAAAAGAGACTTGTCATGGAACAGTTTAAGCCGCTGTTTTTTCCCAGCTGCAGGGAAGTACACTGGTGGGAAGGGTGTTTGAGGCCCCTTTGGAGAGGAGCAGGATGTTCATGGAGGTCTGCTCCAGGAGATGACTCCATGTGGACACAGCCAACGCACAGCCAACGCACAGCCAACGCCATCTCCTTCACCTGCCTCACCTCCCTTCAATGCTGCAGGGAGTAGATGGCCCTTGAGGACAAGGGGGGTATGGGTGCTCCTTGCAATTCCTGGAGCCATGGAGGAAGCAAACTGCTTTGTCTTCTCCCTTGCCAGTTTAGGGCATTATCCTTGAGAACCCTGGTATAGCAGGGCCCTACTTAAATCTCAGGTAGAGAAGCACGTAAGGGGGTCTTCTGTTTCCCCAAATCAGGCCTCAGTTAAGCAGCACAGGGAAAAAGACCTCAGGAGGTGGTAGGAAAGGAACAGGCAGCTTCTTGGAAGTATTTTTATTACAAAAACTATTACCCTAAACCTACATGAAATCTACTCAGAAATCTTGAGACTGATGACACCTCTGTAAGATTTTAGGGGAGCTCTTGATAATTTTCTTTAAAAACAACCCTGTAAGTCTTTGTAGGACATGACTGTAAGCAGAGGGACAGCCCAGAAAATCCACAGTGGAGAAACCACTGTGACCTGCTAGAATGGATTTCAGAAACAAGGAAGCTGGAACAAAAAAAGTAAGTTGAAACATAAAAAGAACTGGTCTTACAGGTACTGCTCACCCTGGGCACTGCTGTCCTTTGTTTTAGAAGGTGGAAAATAAAAATAAGTTGTTCACAATGGAGTTTTGGGTTCCTCCTTCTGCCCTGTGCCATCTGCACCCCCAGGCCACCTTGCCCTGCTCCTTGGCAGCCCTCAGTGCTCCAAGGAGCTGTTTTCCCTCTCTTGCACTGTTTGCTGGCTCGCTCTGTGCAACTGGGGAGACTTGCTGAGGTCCCTGAATGCTGCTGAAAACTGCCACATTCTTGGCTGGTGGCCCAAAGGAATGCATTAGACCAACAAGTGAGCACACTGTAAGGTTTGCTTCTGTTCCTGGTTACCCTGTGCTGAAGCTGTGAACTACAGGGATCCCCTCACGCTGTCTGGCACATATTCTGTTGGGAAAAAAAAAAGGGATAATTCCTCTGGTTAGAGTTGTTTCTTCCCTTTCCCAAAGTTCTGCACCTTGGAAAGAGCAAAAACCACCACTCACTCCAAAGAATAGCAATCTATATGTGCATGATGTTTTAGAAGGTTAAAAGAGCACCAGTGTTTCAAACAGGCTGCACACACGGCCCAGGGAGAATGTCCCTCCCAGGGATATACCCACAATCACTGTTGGCTCCTGAACACATGTGGACACACGGGTGAGGGCTGGCCCAGGTCAGCTTTACCTTGAGCATGTCCCAGAGCAGACACACAGTCCCACCAAGAGGGATCAATGTACAGCTATTCTGCTCAAATCTTCAGGAGCTGCCAGCTTTGGTGTTCAGGGCTATGCTGGGAAAACAGCATTGAGAAGGAGAAACAAGGACTTGGGAACTATTTTTGGATTTTTCCATTGACTAGAGAGCACTGGTGCACAGTGTGGCACTGTGCCTCAGCACATCCTACAGGACAGTCAACAATAGCAGAGGAACAAAGCAGCTCGTCAGCAAGTGACAGAAATTAACATCTCCAAGCTACATCCATTGCGTAAACCAGCTTTCTTGGGATTGCTAAAATTAAGGAACAATCCCAGCAAGCAGTGGCTCACATGTCGAGGAACAATTGAAACAAGCATTGAGTAAGTCCTTCTCCCTAGTCCCTGCTCAGCCCTGTTCACCCCAAAGCACATCTGTGTAAGTGATTGTGTTTCTTCTAAGGAAGAAAACAAGGATATAGAGAGGACATAGAAGTGGTGAAAGACAGACAGCAGTACCTGGAAAACAAACTGTTACAGCCCCTACACAAGGAAGTATTATAGAAGGGGAGGAGGCACAGCAGCATTACAGTGTGAAAACATTAACCTACTCAGTGCATTCAGACTGAGGTAACTGGTTTATATAAAATAGATAAAGCTGATCTTGAAATTCAGATGCACAATGTTCAGTGACTTTTTAGGCAGAGCTGTTAGGAAATAAAAAGAAGCAAAATGTACACAATATTCAAAGAACTTCACTTTGGAGAAGCACTGACAGGTTTCAGCAGAGTAACCTCATCTCTGTAGTAAGTGTTACTTCATTTATTGGAAAGATGTGAAATAAGACAAACCAGCATATATACCATTAAAACTCAGCAAAAGAAAAAAATAATTTTATTCCAGTGTTAAGTCATAAAACAGTGTGATAAGAATCAGACTTTCAACAATTGCTAAACTTTGTGCAAACACATCGAAATCTATGTATCTCCTATTCAGCTACTGACACTAGATTGAAGGCAGGAGCAGGTGTGACAGCACTACACTTAATTACTGTACAGAAGCAAATAGAGGGGTCAGAGACCAAGGGCTTTAAGAGAGGTTACACTGATACAGGACTCACCAGCCAAGAACAAATACATTTCTCTATTCTGCAATTCAGACTGCTTCAGCAGCAATTCTTCTCAACCTACCTCGCAAACCAAATGAGCACGAAGATGGTTCCTGCATGAATATTTTGATATATCTTTCCACTAGCTATCTGCCAGCAACAGAACACTGCTGCTTAAGTTACACAGTTCATCAATAACTAACACATGTGGGAAAAAGACAGCTTCTCTGGAACCAGCAATACAGACATCCATTCTTAGGAGTTAATTATAGTCTTAAGATGCACAGAGACTTTAGGAGCAGAACTGCCATATGCAGCACAATAAAAAACCTTCTTGAATGGCCTGTGCTCTGAGAGAACAAGGCTGTATTATACACGTGGCTGGGTTTTTCCCCACGCTGTCCCATGACGTAGGTATACATCCCACCCATTTCTCAGGAAAAGAAGAGGCATCACAGTTCAGTAACTTGTTACAGTCATATTATACATAGGTCAGGTTCCAATTTCCCATGTCATTCGCTAACCCCACCTACCTAAAACTGTTCATAGAGTTGCATAGATTAAAGATCCTGTGTCAACGGGGTCAAGCTACCAGTTAAAAAATTCGTCAAGAATTCCCATCACCTCTCCCCTCGGACTCCCACATAAAAAGAACACCTTAAGGGAAGTGACATGGAAGTAAAAATGTTTTTAATTGTGAAAAATTTGTATGGAGCTCCTTAAAATGGGATTTGGGTTGAGGCTGCCGAAGTGAAAGCCGAGGGGTCTGTGGCACAGGCCTTTGTGTCCCTTCACTCCCCAGCGCCGAGGTCAAACGCAGTCAGAGCGTTCTGACACCGCTCCCCTGTCGTCACTGCCACACGTCTGTCTGAGTCACAGATCCTGGAGTCTCCTCCCTAGGAATGGAATCCCACTGAACCCTGGGTTCATTCCTGTGTGCAGCAGCTGGCAGGTATCCTCTGGACAAGAACAGCGTGGGGGGAAGCCACACAGAGCACCCCCACAACACCACGCAAGGATCACCTTTCCTGAACTAGAACACAGGTCTGTGAGAGCCACGTCCACACCTCTGCACAGCTGCTCAAATCCAGAATAAAATGCACAACACAACAAGCTCATCAAAGTTTACAGAACTTAAATATTTATTTTTAAACCATTTAAAACCCCCCAAAACATTGAAATAAGCTTCATCTATAAACAGATTTACAAGACTAACAACTACAGAAGCTAGAGAAGCACTACAATTTGTTTCTGTGATGCAGTTATTTTGTAAAGCTTCAGATCAACTGTATTTACAACTTTTGCTGCTTTTACATTTATAAAAATATTTATTTAATCCATAACATTATTGTTTTCAAAAACTATTTCCAGACTTTTTTCTCAGATATAAATTCTAATTGAATTTCAGTTATATAGCAGATGAAAGTTTTAAACAGAAACATTTCTTTTAAAATTAAAACAAGGAGTTAAAAGTAATTTTTTTACAGTGTAGGCACCATTGAAAATAATTGTCCTTGGCATATCTAACCACCATCTCTCACGAGTGTCCTTTATATAAAAATGATGTAATGGCAACATTTGACTGAAAATGCAGTATTTACTTGCACACCATTACTTTTTCAATATTTGGCAGATATATTTCAGATTCTTTAAAATTACTTTTGTGCAAAAACAAAATGTGCAGGTCTGAACCATAAAATAAACACACCCAGCCTTTATCAAAAATAAATTTACACCAACAGTTCCACAGCTAAGTACTGAAAAACAATCCCAGTTCAAAACTTCAGCATAATATACATACTGGGTTGAAAAAGGGAAAAAAAAAAACAACAAAAAAAACCAACAGAAGAGATTACCCATCTAGCAGTACCATAAATATATAACTGAAAGCAACTTTATAGTCTTACCTACTTTTTATGAAAAAAAAATCACTCCGTACTGCACAGTACTACCTTTTTGTGAAAGAATATCTATAACTCAGTTATTTGCATATTAACTGGTAAATACATATTTAAAATACACTTTCAGAAAATTATAAACAAATTATGTTGATGTACTGTATTTAATGTATTTAAGAACAAAAAAAAAAAATGTGTATAAATATCTTACAGGAGAAACAACACCACCACACAGAACGCTGGTGTTACACTGATACCTGCGTGTGAGGTATGTAACATGCGACGCTCGGCTTCTCTGGCTCCCTTCCACCCAGGCATGTGTACTCAGAGGAAAAAAATTAAATTAAGTTAAACTGGACTTCAGGTTTTGTCCATTATTGCCAAAAGCCCCACCCCCTCAACTGTATTGCTCTAAATTTTCCTACCATGATGATATAAGACTGAATTACTACTTCAAAACCTGTTCTAAAAGGTAATACACATACTGTACATCAGGATAGACCTGTTGCTACATATCACCTGCAAACTATTGACATATTGCTCTCAAATATATTTAATCATAGAGCTGCCTAAAATACTGTACCAATTCAGAATTAAAATAGATACTGTTGCAGGTTTGTTTCTCAGGGCACGATAACTATATGCTGGTTGAAGCAGGTGCTACAGCAATACCCTTGCCACTACATTACATGTTTTGAATACGCTTGTGAAAAAGCTATTTTC